TCTCGCGTGCGTGGACTTCGACTGGGAAAAAGTCTAATATTGATTGAGCTGCAGAAGAGTAGGGTGATATTCCCTGTGAACATACTTGTGAGATCCAATTCACTTTGCGCATGAAGCCCAAGCGTTTCGGCACCTATTGATGAGGGTAAGAGAAAATCATGCTCGAAGTGAAATCAGCACGCACGTAGCAAGATGATTGATTCCGAAGCCTGGATTATACCGATTGCGGGGTTGACCACGGTTGTTCCCCAGCTGTGAACTGGCGAAAAGGCCGCATAGGCCGTGCTTGATGTATGTGAATGAGCACCTCTACTGGGAAAGTGATGTTGATTCATATCAGGAGGTAAACGTACCGATGCAAAGCCAGGCCTCGAAGGATGAAATAGGGACCACGAATAGACACGATCTTCCGGAGCCGATGAAATGCCAGCGCGGGTCCCCGCGTTCAGTTGAATACGCGCGTGCATCCGGTCAGTGAATTCAACGGGGTTTCATCACCCCTAGTCGTTCACGCGTTTGCCGGGTTGATGAAGACACAACGACCTGTCAAAGACCAAACTGACAAGTGAGCGGGACCACGAAGATTGTCATGCAAGATGGCTGCTATTGGTCCGATGGGCTTCGACCGTGCAGTGGCATACCCAGAAGCACAACCTTACCTTACCCGCGAGTCTTGAGAGGTCTGCTGACTTCAAGCTGACTTCTTCTCTTCAGATCTGGGCGTGTATGTACGCACAATGGAAAGACTTCGAGTGTTGACTTAAATTTCCATTAATGAGCCAGAGTCACTTACTTGAGCAATATTGGATGTTGCGGCGGAACAGAACAGCTGCGCTACCGCAGAGCCCTGGAGGCATGAGGTACAACGAGAGCGTTGCAGATCCAAAGTCCGCACAGCATCGCATGGGCATTGTCTCAACGAGGCGAAGTACTCCCAAGCACGAATGCTGCATGGCCGGCAATTCCAGCGGCTTCTTCGGTGGTGGTATGACCTTCCGTGACATGCTGAGGCGACGTCGACAAAGCCTGGCCGGCAGTACTGTTCGCAGCAAGCTCACAGATTGGATGTCTTGTCGAATACCGGTGAGAGAACCAATGTAATATGTATGTGTCCAGCTTTCACGTTCCCGGCGACGTTGCGAAGAAACAACGGAGATAGACAAAATGGACTGGTATGAATCCAGAGGACGGTTTTCTGACCACCGTAAAGAGCTGATCAGCGTTGAGACTTGAGAGCAAGAGCAAACTCATCTCACCAGCGTCTCACGTCCCAATTCAGAAACCATCCAGACCAGATAAGCGCCGAACACCCTCGTGACGTCACGCGTCCATCATTCAATTCTTATCCAAGTGTGCTTCAAGTTACTGCTCTTGCACTTGAGCATCCAGGAACTGCGCTGCAGTCCCAGACCGGTTTAGAACATCTAGAACCGAGATTCCGACAGACGGCGTCCCCTGACCTTGCTGAATCTACGGTAAGTCTCAATTGTTATCAAACCACCCTCGGAGAACCCTGCATAACAGGGGTCACTTCTTTTCAATACCACAAAGGCTCTCGAACTTTAGAAGGGGATCTCATGCGTACGTGCCCTTTATTACTGACGTCGGAGTTATCTCTCCAGCACCCTGGAATCCTATCCATCGAAACGTGCAATCATTGTGAAAGACAACAAAGAACGTATCCTTTACTCATGGACAGCGCTCATCCCTTATCGAAGAGGGCCCTGATCGTTTCGTTCAACTTCGCAAACTTCTGGGTTTCAGTGCTGGTCGAGTATAGTGCGGCCAGTAATCATATCGAGTCCGACAAGGCGAATGGTACCGTTCGCAAATATATTTCGGCGTACGTTCATTTCCGTGCTCGTCCAGCTGCACGTCCCCGGGCAACAAGTGGATTTGAATCCTCCGCCGCTCCTCGCGCGGAAGAAATGCACCCCCAACTGTCCCCAGCTGGCCGGACAGTCAGAACCAGACTACGGCCATGCCATCGGCTACTGACTCCTCTTGCCTCGCCCTATCCTCTCCTATCGTTTTGTCAGGCCTTTCTCTGTCATCGACAGCACCTCGTTGGACTCTCGTTGGTGAAACCTAGGTGAAACCGGTTTCCGAGGCAATTGAGCAGTACGTTATGATCTACTCACCATCGTAAACATCTTTCCCTATTCTATCGATTTGGTTCCGCCCTTATTGCGATTGCGGCTGTTATGGCCATGAGGCCCGAGGTATCGCCTGGTAAGTATCAATCAACCAAAGACAACCAACCACAGCCAACCACATCGTGACCTCCGAGGGACGAGCTCGAGACTGCACGGCGCAAAGCCCAATGCACGCCTCCTCATTAAGCATGTATTCATCACCTCCGTACGCTACTGGCTGTTTGACAACAACTCGCGTGGTCAGCCTATCATCTTGCGGAGTTCCGCGTTCGCCGTATCGTAATACTAACATGCTAGCGTCGAGCCCAGTGACATCAAAGATTCAATATTTCGCAAACCCATATTATAACTGATAGGAGAACGGAAACGGTTGAGAAAAGATGGGACCGTCCTCGCGTCCTCAGCACTGACTTGCTACGCGAAGCAACTGGAATGATTCCATTCCGACGGGTTCAAGCGTTCATATACAACCAGGTCGGGATACGGGGCAGGGATCTGCTACAGAATCTATCTCGAAGGCCCGACTTCAGATCCTCAGTTCATTGATTTAGATTAGGGGTTCCGTGAATCGGGATCGCTGATTCGCAGTCGCCTCGTTTTTTGAAGAGCCTCGAATGTATCAGCTGCAGCACTACTGATTTCAAGTAATCCATGTGCACGGACCGTCAATGGATGTGTAGGTATCTTCAAATTACAGGCCGCTTCAGAGAATCGATGACTACTCCTGATCGCTCGGGATCGTGAAGTTCCTCGCCTTCATATTCTACCAGAATTTGTGCATCGACGGCAAGGTATACCCACTTGCATTCATGTCATAACAGGGTCGTATAACAACGACGAGATTGTATATCTGACCGCGGGGACTCGTCGTCTGAGCTCTATTCGAGCCTCAGGGCAAAAATACATCTACAAAATACCTGAGGTATGCTTTTCTCATGCCATAGGGAATTCCTCGAAGACGCCCTGGCGGAAGCCAAAGAAACTAGTCGTCCCAGCATCGACCGCAGCAATGACGACCAACTTCTTCCCTGCCTTAAGTACCGCGAATGGGTTTGGTTTGCGTGGTGGGGGCTCTTGTGATGCGGGAGATGACGGTTCTGGGAATGCCCATGAGAATAGTCGACGAAGGAAGGACATGCGAGGGTCTTCGGGCGGAGCTGAGAGGGCAACACTCGTTGCTTCGAGTGCCTGCTTCTTCAGTTCCTTTTGTTCAGCGAATGCTAGTCGTTTCCGTGGAACGGGTGGAGGGAGCTCGGGAAGGACGTCAAACAGATTCGATAACTCCTCGAGGGTGGGCATGGGCGTCGTTCGAGCGCTGTACGGAGCATTCGTGTTAGCCACATTTTCGCGAAGGAATTATGTTACATACTTGACTACAACCACGGAGAAATCCGGTGCGGGAGGAGCTGTTTTCTTGAAAGGGGTAGAGGGCTTATATACATTGAAGAATATCTGGTACGGAGATGAGGTACTACTTTCGTGCAGGTTTTCCGTATATTTCAACGGGGTCTCATGCCCTGAAGGGATAAAGCGGAGGGACTTGAACACAGATGCTAACGAAGAGCATCTATTAGCAACTGGTGTTTCGTCGCAACAAGAAACATACCATAGCTCATATTAAGATGCCACCATGGGTTATGCTGTACTGGCTGCCACCAGTTGATTCCTCTGGAGAACATACCCAGTACGCGATTGAATATCGACGAAAGAAGTCTAAATAGAGAAGGAGGTGGTCTGTGGGGTTTCGGGAATGGTGCGGCCAAAGGATACGCAAACGTTGGAGGCTTCGTTCGCGTGACGACATAACCCAACCGCCTGAGATATGAATAGACCTAGTTGGGCTCATGTTACACTTTTGCATGAAGATTGGGGTAATAAGAGGCCGTACCTGGTACTTCTCTAGTGAGAGATCATCTCGCCCAATCATTTCCGCAAAGGCTTGCTGCACAGTCATGGGAGCACCTTCCACTCCCTCTGAGTGAGGAAACTGAAGCAGAGCGGGGTCTAGAGTCTTCCAACAAAACATTGCGCCTCGTTCTATGAGATAGATAGCTTCTTCAGGCAAAAGCTCAAGTCGTTTGGGTGCCTTGGATTGTGATGTCCCTTCATGTAAGCTTTGCCTAGCGACGGAATGGCCCATACTGGCGAGATGAGTACCTCGTGCAGTTGTGACGTGAACACGGGCAATGTCCGGATACCATACTCCATAACTGATCCCTTTGCTTGGCAAGACGTCTCAAGAAGTGGAGGACAATTGAGACTGAATTGGAACCTACCTTGATGTGTTCCGAGGTGCCCTCAGTGCATTCAACATTGCTGACCTTGCGCGGTCGAGAACATGGCGTTGGAAACCAGAGCCACCTTGAACGATTGGCTCGAAGTCTTTTTCGCCTCGTTTGGGAATGACTGGCCGGGCGGCGGTACTGCGTGAAGGATTAGGCTCGTTCACTACGATGAATAGGGTACCAGTAGAACACACGGTAACTTCGTCCAGTCAGGGCCATCATCTTCCTCTCCAGACGACAAATCGTCATTTTCAGGCCTATCGTCCTCAGGAGTGGGTTGAATATTGACTGTTGGTCTTTCCAAGTCGTCATCCATGATTACGTTGTTTCCAGGGTTTTCTTCCTCCTTGGTCTTCCCTGACGTGTGATGTGTAGCTGGGCAAGCTGGGTAAATAGTACGGGTTTCTACAATTCTTTGAACAGGCCTAGTCAGGCATATCTGAGGAAGCCATGAGGCTACCAAACGCCTGCTACTTCACACCGAGCCTCGAGGCCATGAGCTCATATTTTACTAGAGTGCAGCTCAGGCTATGCATAGCGTAAATATCTAGCACCACACGCCCGCCTAGCTCAATCGGATAGAGCGTCAGACTCTTAATGCGGGTTTATCTGAAGGCTGCGAGTTCGACCCTCGCGGTGGGCTACTCATCTTTTTCCTCAATTCATGCATTTTCATCAATGCTGACTCGAAGAGTATCTACGTTTTGGCCCAGTTCAACGTTCATCGATGCTCATTACGCGTTCCACGATTATTCCGAATCATCTGTCATATACCTGAAACGAACTTTAGTCAGAACGGGAGGTATAAGCACAGTCTTTCTATAGTGGTTCCAACAATGTCGGCGTCCGGGAGGCATGTTTTAAATTGTTCTTCATCTAAATTGAGCTCCACTTATACAAGTTTCGACTACATTGACAACTTTGATTACCGTTGTTAGGTGTACTGACGTATATCGTACAGTGGGTGACCGGTCAGCGAACAGCGAGTTCGTCAACAGGCTATGTTGACATGGGAATGATTGAGTGAACATACGGGGCCCCGCATTTTCCACACACTGCCGTTGACAGCGCATAGTACATCAAACCAAGGCAGAGGTACAACAACTCATCTCAACCAGGAACCAAAAGATCATGAGATCTTTTTGTAGGCATGAGCATCTATGTTAGACAGGTGGGATCATGAGGGCGCACAGCACAGGCTGGAACGAACATGTACTTACGTTGAGAGTAACGCCGTAGTTCTGCTACCAATGAGGGTGATGTTTACCAGAGGTCCGAATATACTCTCCTGCCATTGAGAGTTGCTGGGTGCGGTGAACGGTCCAGGTCTCGATATTCCAATCGGTGTCCCCCTAGCAAAAATCCAGCAGTGCGTCACCAACATGTCAGTACACATCATTGGGAGGAGCAGATATGACCGGCATTCAAGGAGCAATCTGCGCACATTCGCCGCAACATTATTAATGACGTTGGTCGTGAGGATCCGTCCACGGCATTACAATTTTGCAAATTTGCAAAGCTTGAACTGGTCTAGTGTCGTCCAAATTACCCGACGTCGTCGTGGTTAATAGATAGAAAATGGGACCCAGACGAAGCAAAGTTTTTTGGTGTAGGTAACCGAGTTATTATACGCCGTTGTACGTACGTCTTCCGGTGAACCGTGTCAGATGTCTCTTGTACGAGTCATCGAGCTCTGCCACCTGCCTGAGAGATTGAATGGCGTTGACGAACCCCTTCGTATTGAGGGAACTGACAGACTACATATAGTTTAGTGGGAAATCATTGATCCTGGGAGACACGATGAACAAATACAGGTCTACCTCTATAGTTCGCCGACAGAGTAACTCGAAAGAGTTGCCAATGTATGGAGAAGAACCTGGGTCGGACGCTTGAGGATCAACATGTATTCTCGACTCTCGAAAAGGCCGGGGCATACAGGGCGGGAAGCTGAGGAGCAACGCAGCAGCCATATGAGACGCATGCTATGCTCAATTTTGTAGACTAGTGGTGATGGTAACTGCTCGGCCGCACGACTCAAGCGAAAACAGCATTGCAAGGGATGTGCCTATCATGGAGACGGAAGATGCTCGGATTAGTTCTGGATGTCAAGGTCAATCGGGCGATTGAAGTACTTACTGTGAGAATGACTATGTCTATGGCTCACTCCTACGAGTTTTTCGGACGAAAATCGTGCTTGGCCTGGCACATCATGCTTACCGATTCAATAGAAAACAATGGCGCTGATGCTAGCGTCCATGAAGCATTGACCGACCATGTTTCTCCAATCGGCACCTTCAGTAAATGATAGCCGGTATGTCGCTATCCATGCGCTGAGCTTGTCAAGACTAGTATGGTTGGCAGTTGTGACTTGCTCGAGTCACTTACATATCATCCAGGAGACACGAGCTTACGGATGAGGCTATAGAAAAACCTTTGATACATCAGCTCACGACAGCGGTTGTACCATCCGAGGGCGGTCAACGTGAAGTCCACAACATCGTACGTTCTGACGAGTTGTAAAATTTGGCCCTCTGCAGCATTCTCGTTAGACATATAGAACCCGACTTGCGTATCTTGCGATGATTCAACGACCTAGACGTGCCTGGCTTATTCAGCGTTAAAACAGGAGAGGACTAGCCCAAGTAGGGCTAAACGTACCATTAATATTGCTGGGAGAACCGGTAGTTGTACAATCGCGTTGCGCGTGTCTCCTCGGACATTTGCGAGAGTATCTCAGCGAATCCTATACATATGGTGTATTAAATGCTGTCCATCCCTAGACACTCTCTGCTAAAATCTCAGTACGATACTGTGTACATAGCAGACGACACACGAAACCGCACCGTGACACGGTCTGACATACTTGTTGATCTATATGCAACTGGTTAGGGTAGCGGGGATCTCCGCATGCATCGTGTGAATCGGATTAAGGAGGGTGATCAAAGTTCGGAGGGCGGAACGAGTAGACCAAACATCCAGTCATTCAACTGTGGGAGGCGACTTCGTAGGGGCTCACTAATAATGTATCGGGATCAATCGCCAGACCCCAGAGAACTTACACACGGTCGTGAACGCGTCCACATTGGTTCACCCGAAAGCATCATATGCGCCCAACTTGAGTATGAGATCCCGTTTCCGAACTGAGAACTAGGGGGAAAGCTACATGCATTGCAATCGATAGGCAAAGTACTGGATGTGTACGTACCGGTGGCTATCTTGTATCACGAGTCTTCAGAGGCGTCGGCGGATGGGAGGGATATCGAGCAGCGGACTAGCGTTGGGTAATAGAACTTGGACAGTGGAAGCTGAGGCCTCCCAAAGTGTTGACAATAATGCCTAGCTGCATGAAATGCGGTGTACTCATGAGATGGCGTCCTATTGTCACTTAGGCAAAAGGTTGATTATCGGGAGCGCAGCTTACCAGGTGTGGTCTCGGGTACTAGCGTGCGGAGACCACATTACCTCTTGCCCAGGTACGGCCAAGTGCAGCTCTTTGACCCAGCGGACTATATTCGCAGGTTTCTACTCGGCGCCGAATAAGCAGGAACGAGACCACTCTGTCCGCGAAAAGCAATCCGGCGTCTTATGGTGCACTTCCTCCGGTATAGAAGACCATCTCGGAGAAGCATGAGAAGAGAAGTTCCTTGATACAAGAGCGGAACGCTGACGGCTGGCTGTGAGCGTTTGTCCATTGCCATATAGATAGGGCAAGTAGGCCGACAATATGCCATAGGGTTTTCACGAGTATAAGGGGAACAGACTCAGACAAATCTGTCGACGGGTTCACATACCATTCAGGCTTACTGTAAGAGGGTTTTACGGGACTGACAGGGCCAAGGGATACAGCATACCTAGTCAAGCAAACTAGACGGCGTTTTCGAGGCATTGCAACTCTCGAATTGCAGTACGGAGTCGGCTCGCCTTGTTCTTGTCCAAGTCATGTCGAAAATTCGAAGTGGACACAAACGTGCCCCGACGCTCGACACTATCTATTCCAGGGATTCATGATCAAGTTTCAGTATCCAGCCCTTATCACATGCACGAAGGATCAATGTAACTTACGACAGTAGGCATCTGGCAAGTATGCAGTAGTATGGCGTAGTATCAAATGATGCATATGGGACGACATGTGCTCAAACTTGATGTCGAATTGATACAACACCCGGTGGATGTGGATGAAGACGACCAGCGTGTATCATAGACTTTGAACGATAGCTGTTCTAATCGTCCTGGCGTCCTGCCAGTTCAGACTGATTGTACCGAAACATGTATTGGAGTCGGAAGAGAATGATCTTATTGAACAGTCTTGAAAGCATCAAAGTCACGGTCATACTTGTTAGAGCATCCCAGCATCCCTTACATTCGTCACAACAAACGGACCTTTTTGAATAGATTCCTTAGTCCTCGGAGACCTCGAACCTGCACTAGCGCAGCCAAGAAAATGTACCTTGCGAAATATTGCAGGGAAGGGGACCGGAGTTTTGGCCGCGCTGGTCTGGGCGTGGAGGACATCTGCAAAAGGATCATCCCGGATTCATCCCGCCCAACGCCCCGATCTAGATCTCCCGATGCGGGGTTTCGTCATGACAGTCAAACATTGAGACAACCTTGCCCTGGCAATATCGCCCCAATACAAGCACCTATGAAAGTTTATGCATTCATCATCGGCGGCGGAGACCTCTGCCAATCGAGGCTAGTATCCTTATTCGGCCCTAGCCAGTCGACCCTTAGTATAACAACGAAGACAACCATGCTAATTAACCACGTACGTTCCTTTTGTCCTGCCCATTTGCGGGGTAATAATTCTTTGCCACCGTGAATATGAAGAGGCACATTAATGATGTGGCAGGGTGACGGAGAAACCATGGAGAGAGCCTCAGAGCGGATAAGAATGCGGGATGGGCGCAGAAGGGTGGAATACAAAACCGGTCCGCCCGCGTAAGATGCGAATGTCGGTTGCGGTCCACGAGATCTGTCGTTAAAAACCATCGAGTTAATCATCTTATTGTAGGAACACTCAGACACACCTCCCGCGTGTGTTCTGCGTGTATCCATGGCCATGACTGAATGATGATTTCCCCGCTACGGGACTAGTGCAAATGAGTAAAGTAGAACATAGCACTTACGACAAAAAGGGGAACCTATGCACATGTAACGACAATCCTGTGAAGCGTGTAGCGATGAATAAAAATTGTTACTCGACGAACGGGATTGACAGAAAGCCATGCGCTTGTGACCTGACGCCGTAATGACGACTTGTCGCGTTACGGAAGTCTCAAGACTCAAACACTTTCACGCGGGTAACGGCCTCTAGAAGAATCCATAGGCGCAGTGCAGGGGTTGCAAGGTTCAGTATTGTATTGTACTCGAAAATGCCGCTGCGCCGGCGGATCCTGGCTCGTGCGGCGTTGATATATGATACGTGATTCAGGCCACTTTATACTACGGAAAACTTGAATTTGTTGAGAACTGTATCCATAGTCAAGTCATACTGTGTACAAAGCAGTAGTATTTAGTACTATTTACTATAGTTACATGACAGGCAAAGCCTCCTTGCTCACTTGCGAGAAGAATTTGAATTGAGTGAAACTTTGTAACTCCCAGTCAGATTGAGCCTACTTAGTACCTGGCAGTGACACTGCT